TGAATCAAGTTTTCCTACGTCCTCTGTATCATTGAACTGCCAAATCTGAACAAAACCAGATATAATGTAAAATTACTTTTGTTTCAATTAATACTGGTTTGGTTTGTTTTGAATTGCACACCAACTAATACTGATTACAATCTAATCAAAAATCAGTGTAAACCTGTTTATGAAATAATAAATTTCAAAATTATTATTTTCAAACAATTGTGAAAAAAATTATACATGAAACAAACAAATGTCAACAAGACAATTTGAAATTGTATACAATACATCCTTTTTAACATAAATTCTGCAGCTGTAAGTTTCAAAAACAATATGAAATTGTTCAGTATGACTAAACCATGTTTTAAATGTATCTTCCTGTCTGTAGCATCATTTATTGCAAAATACTTATTTCTAAAGCTATTGAAATTGAGAAGCACTAACAACCTTCTATACACAAATACAAAACCATATAACCTTCTGAAAATGTTATAACATAGAAATAATATTAAATTTTATTACTTAGATCCTTATTTATGTTGACCTTGTTTTTGTTGCTTTTTTGGAGTGCAATCTTTTTGATTTAATACTTATCTTACAATTATTAAGTTTTTAATATATATTTATCAATTTTCACAAATTATAATTTATTTTTACTTATTCCTGATTTGACAGCACTTTTACCAGTTATACAAGAACTGATCATAAGAATAATTCGTATATATTACCAGCAAAGATCTGGAACATTGCACATAAGTTTGACATGAACGTTTTAAACAGTAATAAAAGATGCAGTTATAAATATAATTCAAAAAGGTAATAAAACATAAAGTACAAACACAAAACAAATATTTAAAATTCTGAGCAATGCTATGCTTCTAGGTTACAGAGTTCCCAAGAACAAATCCTTTATAAAGGATTTGTCTCACAACAACATACAACTTGTATTACAGATATAGAATATTGACAAACTAAACATTGCCCAAATTTATGGATAATACTGCATACAACTAACACTAAAATGCATTATATAGAATCCAAACTATAAGCTTACCTTTGCAAGAACAAGACCTAAAGAATAATACGGTTTTTCAGAAAAATTAATAGAACCTTCAACTTCTGACTCATTTAACAAGTTCTTCCAGTCTATTTCTAGTGTTGAATTTAAAGATGTACATGCAATCAACACAGATGGTGCTCCAACAGAACTCCAAACATAGTGTAAAACATCTGAATCTCCTTCTGCTGTCACATGGACTAGATTTATGGAATTATCCGTTTCTCCTTTACATTCTGGTAAACTGCAATTGGGATTGAGAGTCATGTTCAGCTGTAAATAAAAAAAACATAAGTAACTCCTCAAAATTAAACACTAAATCAGAACCATAAACTTCTATGTAAATTGTTAGAAACATAAAGGCTTTACACACCATTCTTAATTGATAACAATCACCAAAAAATGACCTTAATTGGTTAATTCCTTTTTGTTATCTATTAAAACTTTCTTCCTTACATTCATAATAAATAAAAGCAGTAGCTTATTTTATTTTTCTGTGACCTTGACCTCACCTCAGATTACATAATTGTTAGTATTTCATTAATGAGAATATCTATACAAAGTTTCAATGACATCCATGCAAAAATAGGCAAGTGCTAAAAATGTAAACTTTCATATATTTTATTTTCTGTGACTGTGACAACTTCATTTCATGAAAGTAGATTGTCTAGCTCAATCCTGCACGGATGTAGATTGGCAAATCAAGTTACAATTTAATCTCTTGTTCACAGATCGACTTTTTAAATGGCATTTATTTTTAATGTTTCCAGAAAAGGCTCATTATTTCAAAACAATTTTCTGTAAGACTATTTTTTTGTAAACTTAATGTTTGTTGCTTAATAACCATTAAGGAAACAATGTGTACTCATTCTGTATTGGGCCAGCCAGTCAGTGATATAAACCAAATTAGACTGGGGAAAGTTGGTCTAGGCATTTGCACCTGTCACAACTCCCCTGCAGACAGGCCTGATGTAACTGACTTCTTAAAGAAATATATTACAAAAACTGACTTACATATTAAAAGTTACAATTTCTAAAAAATGTTTCAGAATAAATAATTTAAAAATGGCACTTGTGTAAAACATCTATTTACAATTAAAAGAAATACAACATTAAAACCTTATACAATAAATAGTTATTAAAAACAGGGACTTGCCCAAATATGACTACATGTTTTGGTGTCCTATGACACCACCTTCAAGAGTAACGGTAAAAGCAAGGTTGGGACATATATCCACATAATCATTTGCATACCAAAATGCCATAAATATCAATGCATAGCAAGTTCTAGCCTTGAATTAATCTAAAATATTCAACTACCAAAATATAAATTATCAGTTCACTTTCAACAATGTATATGAAAAATTTTTTCTTTCGAGACATTCAATATAAAGTGAATAATGGAAAACAATATCACACACACATACATGTAGTGAAGTCACATATCTTTACATCTGATAAAGCAGTGCAATAACTAATCATCTTTGATTCTTTACTTTTCATGGTCACGAGGAAATTGTTTTGAACCTTATGACAGTTGCAACAGGATTTTTGAGGCATAATTCAAAGAGTTTAAGTCATTGATTAGGACTTCTCTGATAAAAAAGTAAGTTTAACTCAAATTAGTTTTTACAATTTAAGAAATTTCTAAGTAAATTATTTGTTAAGTATTTGTCCAACATAAATTTTACAAATGAAATAAAACAAACAGAAGATCAGCCTAAGCAGATGACTGCAAGTTACTGACCAAATTCTGTCTTATTATTACGTGAAAACATATTTCTATTTTTCAAGATTTTAGGAATCCCATACAAACTTTTCTAGCTTAAATAAGTAAATATAATCTTATTGATAACAAAATTTCAATGCTGCAGATGTTTGATAATCACACAAACTGTCAAAACTGATCTTGTAATTATGTTTATGGCCACCATAAAATGTAATTGGCATGAAGACCTTTGTCAAAATAGATTTTCTTTTTTTATAGCCATATTTCAAATTATTAACTATATATCTTAACATCTTTACTAGATTCAAGTGACTTGGAACACAAATGAAAAACAAAATACTCATGTTCTCTATGTTATAATTAAAACAATTATCAAATTAAAGTCTTATTATTTTTGTTCCTACTAGCAGTAACATTATCATTTATAACTTAACACTTGTAAAATTAAATACCCAACTAGTAACTATCGCAAAAGAACCATTGGCAGTAACATCTTTAATTATAACAAAATGTCAGATAACATAACAAATGAAGAGTTACACTATTTGGTGCAACTATATAGAGTGGTCTACAAGGATACTATCATCACTACCATTTTAACTTTTGTTGATTTGCAATCGGTGCCAGTTATTATAAATAACGCTTTTAAACTAAGTACAAAATACCATTACATAACATTTTTGAGGCAAATATAATCGGAATCAAATGAGTTCCAACAATTAAAACTAGCACAATTATAACCTAAATTTAAGAAATTATTTTGGAACAAACAACTTATTAAACTATTATTATTATTTTCTGAACAAAAATGTGGATAGATATAGATCATTTAGCAAGAAATTATGTCTTAGTAGACTGCACGCTATAGTAGCACCCACTATTTTCTTTTCTAAATACAAGTATAATTCATCCCCTTACATTGACCATGTACTCATTGATAACCTTGCTATCACGAATACTGAAGATTTGCAACTGCTAATTAGTATTGGTTCAACATTCCAGGAATGTCCAAAATTTAATTGGAAATGTACCAAAAAATAATTAGTACATCACTCATTAAAGTTTTACATAAGAAGTAAAAAAAAAAAAAAAAAGAAAGAAGTAAATTTTACAATAACTAC